AGAGTGGAAAGATTGTGTTCCCTTTTGAAAAACAAAACTAGCATTCTTTTACTGTGTCCCTGTTATTTGCTGCTTTTTCAAAATTCTCTTAAGACTTAAGCTCAATGAAGTTCACTGTGACACTGTTTTTGTTTTCACTCCATAATTGAAAGTCCTCTCACTGGCATGTAGCATAGTTCTTAAGACACAGTAAATACGGACTTCGTAACTAAATGCAAACATCCTAAAAGATTAACCAAGCTTCTTTAAAAGAAATTGATATCAAAGATTAAATAAATAGCAGTTACATTTTTTAAAGCAAAGTATATAGTTGTTAAAAGACACTTTTCTATACAGTTTAATCAAAAGAACCAAGAGAAGGAGAAGGGCTGGGAAGAAGGGAGCAGAAGTGCGGACCTCTCTGAGAGCCACAATTGCTTCTTTGAATGTTCATTTTCACTCTGTACAGAAGATGGAGCCAGAGACACATTTATTCACCGATAAGCTTCTCTCCCATTCAACAAAACGAAGCAAAACAAAGGAAATTCTTCCTTCCCCTTGTAAAGACTTTTTGTTGTTGTTTAGCGTGGCAGTCACGTTCACTAAGAGGGAAATGGGGAGAGGGTGGAAATTTTGCCTCGATGAAATGAAACTTTGATCTTTACTTTGTTTTCAAAGATGACAGGGTGCTATTTAAAAGGGGAACAGGTTTCATTTACTTGAGTCCTCTGGAGTTGAACTGAGTTGAATGAGATGTGAATCGTTGAGAAGCGTTCCACTGCTATTTGGCTGTGAAGCCACTATTCAGGGAGACATGGCTCCCTAGTAGTCACAGTAAGATATTTTGCTGGTTGACCAATTTAAGTAAAGCATTCCTTTATTTGCATGCTATTGAGCTCCAGATTCACATTCACGACTTCTTTGCAGACTAAAAAAAAAAAAAAATTATTTAAATTGAAATTTGCTGCAAATATATATTGTAATGGTGATGGAAAGAAAACTAAAGCAGGATGGCCTCTCACACCAACATCCCAACACAGGAAATGGGGGTGGAGGGTCATGACTTGTTTAGTGAGCCTTATCTCAAAATTTAAAACAACAACAAAAAAACCCCACAGCATTGGATAAAGGTGGCCCAGGATCAATGGTGCAGAACTGCCAGTCAGAGACAGGCAGCTGGGTCTGCTGAGGCTTTGATTCAAGAAGACGAGGAAGAGGAGAAAGGAGGGAAAGAAAAAAAAAAAAAAGGAAAAGAAAAAACAAACAAAATGGTACCTGAGACCCAAAGCAATGTTATTCTTGACTCTCCCAGTCTTAGATAGTCTTATCTTCTACAGAACCATTTGAATTAACAAAGATGTACATATCTTTTCCTCGGTCAGTGATAACCCTACTCTCTAGGAAAGAAACTACCTTCACTTTCCCATTTCCTACAGCTCTATCTCAGCACTTCATTTTCTGTAAGGTCTGCTTTCACTCTTTGTTTTCAATGAATAATTCCCCTTTCAAAGTTAAAGACCTAGAAAGCCCCAGGCTAGTGGCATTTTCCTTACAACTAAACCGCCTCCAACCATTTTAAACGGTTTTCTCTATCTTGACCCTACTTGCTTTTGTCATTCTTTTTCTTTGTGAGCACTAAAGGAAATTCACTCAAGCTGTGTGCTTTGTCTTGGAGATTCTCTGCCCACATTCCTTCTTTTAGCAAATATTTCAGAGCCTGTGGCTTTAACTGTCAATTCTTTTCAGTTCATCAAAAATCTTTCAACAATTTTAACCTGAACACCTTATCTCACAGTTGTGACATCATTGGATCTCTTTGCTTAGGCATTTTTGCTTTTCATCACAGCATACTCCAAAGTGAGACTATTGTGTCTTCCAACTGGTGGGTCACTCCCCAACTTCCTTTTTTTGATGTTGGTAACATTTTCCCAATTAAACTTCCAAACTCAGTCTCCACTTCCTCCTGCCTCTTGTTTTCCCTCTTAAGAGTACCAACAACTTCTAGCATTTCTGGATTCCTTCTCTTACAGTGTTCACATTCATACCTCACCTCTCTTCCATTCTAGCACCCATTACAATACTCGTCATAGCAGCCTCTACAGCCTGTTTGGTTGGTGTTGTTTTTAACTTAACTAACACAGGATTTCTCTATTGTTGCTGAGGCTTACTTGAAATTCTTCAAGGTTGACTTGTCAGGCCCCACACTCCAAAGTTACTGGGGCTATAGGCAGAGTCCATTGAGTCCCTCTCAGCACCAGTGTTTTTTTTTTTTTTTTTAATGTTCTTGCTAGTCACTAAAATAAGAGTTATCCTGAGTTCAAGGGCAGCCTGGTCTACAGAATGAGTCCTAACCTAGAGAGACTCCATCTCAATAGAAAAAGAATCATCTACCAGTTAACATAAGTCAGGCCCTTAACATCCTTAACATTTGTTCTGTGCATCTCAAAATTCCAGAAATGTAAACAAGAGTAAAAAATTGCTGAAGCCCAGCATATCGCCTACCTGCAACACCTGTGAAGGCAGGCAGAAGGAAGCAAGTAAGAATTCAGGAGGTAAGGCCAGTTTGGGTCAATATGAAACACTGCCAAAAAAGAAAAAAAAAAAAAAAAAAGGAAAGGAAAGAAAGAAAGAAAAATACAAATATAAACTTATAAACTTACTTTAAAAATGCTATCGTGAGGTCGTAAGGCAGTCAATCACAACTAGGTTTTTTTTTTCTGCAACTAATTCTGAATTTACATTACAGAAATGTTATTAATAAAAAAGGTATTGGTATTAATTACACTTGACAGATAATTTTATAAAAACAAAAATTTATTTATATAGTTTGTTTGTTTGTTCCAGACAAGTTTCTTTTCCCTCTGTGTAACAGCCCTGGCTGTCCTGGAACTCTGTAGACCTAGAATTCTGTAGGCCCTGAATTTACAGGGATCTGCCTGCCTCTGTTTTTCAGGTACTGGGATTAAAGGTGTGGGCCACCACACCCAGCAGTCAAATCTTACTGTAAATTAAATTTGTTTTTGAAAAGAGGGAAAGAGGAACAGGGATGGTGGGTTTGTGGACATTCAGCTTTACTGAGATTGTTCTGTAAGTGTTTTGTAGTAATCTCAGGTAAACTAACTTCAGATAAGGGTGTGCTGTGTGTTTCAAAAAGAATTCTTTTAGGAGTCTGGATTGTTTACTGTAAGGAATGCTAAATGTTTCAACAGACAAATATTCGTATACTGAGTTCAACATCGTAAACGTACGTAACCATCACATCACTCCAATATTATGTACAATTCTTACATTTTAATCAGTTAAAAATACATTTAATAAACCATGCAGGCAGTTCACACACCTGTAATCCCAGTACCAAGGAGACAGAGGCAGGCAGATCTCTGAGTTTGAGGCCATCCTAGTCTATGCAGTGAATTCCAGGACAGCCACAGCTATGTAGAGAAACCCCAGTTTAAAAAAAAAAAAAAAAGCTACCTACCTACCTAATAACTAAATAAATAAATTCATGATAAGGGCCAGCCAGATTCCTCATGGTAAAGGTGATTGTTGCCAGGTCTGACGATCTGAGATCAGCTTTTAGGTGGAAAAAGGGAACTGACTTCCATGAGTTGTCTGCTAACTTTCACTTGTGCACACACACAAATACACAAATAAATGATTTAAAAAAAAAAACAAAACAAAAACAAAAACAAAACCTAACTTCAGGTTGCTGTATGCGAAGCCTTGAAAATCAGATTATAGTTTCTGCTTCTGTAATATTTCCCTTCTTTAGCGTAAAGACAAGCAAAACTTTTAGAATAATCAAGAGCAAGAGTACACCTTGGTGTCTTAAACAGGGAGATTTCAAATGGTAGCACCTTCGCCACTCTGGTGAGAAGATCCTTCTGTGTTCTGCTGTTTGTATTCGTGGGGAAGGTTTGGCACAATCCGATGGATGCCTGCACCAAGGCCGAGAGGTTTCCCTGCCCAACCACAGGAGCAGCGTGGAAGCCTGTTTATGGCAGTTGTCCTCCTACAAGCCCTCTTGGAGGACATCTGGGAGGCCTCAAAGGAGCTGCCTACCCTAGGAATGACGCTTTGTTCCTCAGGCTTTCATCAAACCCCGGTCTGGACACGAAGCTGTGGCTAGGCACAAACCTCCTCCTGCATGACCTTTCCAGGGACACGACTGAAAGAGGGGATAATGTTTTCAGAGCCGTGTTATGCCATCGTGATGTATCTGGCAACTCTAGTCTACAGCTGTTAAAAAAAAAAAAAAAGAATTCTGACATCTCCCTGCAGATTTAAATATTAGATTGTTGGCATGGATAGGCCTGAGATATAAATTTTCACTTCCTTGGAGATCTGGTAGAGGTCAGTATTAACATTTCAGTCAAAACTTACATACATGATGTATCATTCCTAATATATAACACGTACCTTCTTGTGCTTAACTGAAAAAAGTAAAAATGCCGAAAGCAGACAGGAACTGAAGGGGTAGACTTAGAAGCGCACGCATCTTGTGAAGTATCTTTCCCATGCCCACCATGTCTTTCCTTTGTTAATTGTCCACGTTTAAGAGGAAGAGAATTAGGTCATAAGAAAGATCACTCACGCCCACCTCAAGCTTCACACACCTTGGGCAACACAGAACAAGTCTGCACTAGCAAACCTTGACTCCGTTTTCATTTATTGTGCTTTTTTTCTTCTTTTTTTAATTTAGAAAGTATAATGTAACACATTGTATCTTTTCATGCTCCCAGGTCATCTGCTGACCCAACAGTTTTTTAATCCGTGAGGAGTCACGGCCAAGCAGTGTCGGCGTGCATCTAGAGCTGTTTCTTACTTTACCCCCCACCCCCCTATCTGCACATTCAGACTACAACTTTATCTTGACCTGGTTGTTTCTTCTGCCGGCTCAGCCCCACGCTCACCAGCCTCCTCCCCACCTCCTCCCCTCCTTTTCTTCCTCCCTCCCCTTTCTCCTAGCCCCTCCTCCTTCCAGTTGAGTCAGTGGCTTGAAACTTTTAAAAGCTCTGTGCTCCAAGTTAGAAAACCGCTTTTACGAGGTCTCAGCACTTTTCTTTCATTGGGGGAAGGCGTGAGGAAAGTACCAAACAGCAGCAGACTTTTAAACTTTAAATAGACAGGTCTGAGAGCCTGAACTCTCCTCTCTTCCTTTGACTTCAGCCTCCAAGGAGCTTCACCACTTTGGCGCGCCGGCTTCACTTTCATTAAGTGAAAGAGTAAGTTTTTGAAAAGCCCACTTTACCTATGAGCGTCTTTTTCTGTAAGGAAAACTCTTCTCCTGTAGCTTACAAATGCGTTGTGTCTTTGACTTACGGTGCTGTAAGTAGAACGGTGATCTTCAAAGTGCCTTTCTCATTTCCACGTGCTGATTTCTATTTGGGCTGTTCAAAAAGTTCTGCGGACAATGCAACAGGTAAAAGGCTCAAGGCTCAAACTCTTTTTCCGACTAGAGCGAAGAGCCAAGTTACCAGACTTGGTTCTTTGTTGTGGAGCCCGGTTTTACTTTCCTGTGGTCACTAAGGGGGTAGGTGTTGCTGGGGGTGGCGGGGGCTTGGGTTGGACGGCTCGGTCCCGTTTGCTTAGGGTGCTCCATACAGTGCTGTACAATGCGTGCTTTTTTTTCTTATGGAAATCCTGCCGGCCGTTCCGTAGCCTTGAGAAAAAAAAAAAGCAGAGTCCTTTTGTAACAGAGTGCTTTGTTAAAGCCGCGGCAACTTGACTTCCACGTGGTTCCTGCTTAGACTCTTGAGGATCAAGCCTGAAGACACGTAGATGAAGGGTGCCGCTCTTGGGGTTTTTAGGCCAACAGTAGTTACTTTGTGCGAGCCGGCGCGGTGCTCCGGGTTGAACCCCTTAGCACGCACACACAGCCAGCTTTTTTTTTTTTTTTTACTCCACGCTGGCAACTCCGGGCAGAAGAAATCTTGAATGGGTGGTGGTGACTTGCGGAGCGTTAGAGGAGGAACGGGCGTTTAGAACGAGCGGGCGCCAGGACGCTTTTCCAAAATCAACTGCTAAAACACGAGCTCCTAGAAGGAAGAGGGGGAAAAAGGGAATTTTGGAGCCGAGCTTTAGAGGGAGCTGCTCCCCCACCCCCACCCCGCTCCCCTGCCTGCCTGCGGGGACCTGTAGCGACGTCGGAGCTGTTGGGACAGTTTTGACTTGGCGCTACCCGTGTGTGTCTATGTTGGGGGGGGGGCACTAAGCAAAGATGATGTTAACGCGCCGTTTAAAGGGGACCGTCGTAAAGCTGACGTTTGCTGGGAACACACTCTGTAAAGGACTTCGCGCCGCGTTCATTGTGTCCCGCCTCAATCCAGACAGAAATAACTCGGGATGAGTCTGTGTTGAAAGGTTTTTTGTTGTTGTTGTTGTTGTTTTGTTTTGTTTTTGTACCAGTGGACGCTGAGCCGAACAGAAGTGAAAGCTTTGGGGAGAGGGCTCCGCGGGCCCCTCCTGCCATCTTAGCATCCCGGGCTCCGCTGCTCCAGCTCCCCGCAGCCTCTCGGCTTCGCGGTCCAGAAGGGGGAGGGGAGGCCGGGCCGGCGACCCGACGGTCAAGGAGCAAGCGCTTGACTTCGTTAGAGTTGTCACTTGCCGCCCTGCCTCCGCCCTTCTCTCCCCCCGAAGCCGTCGGGTGGCTGAGCGGAGCCCCCGGGGAAGGGCCTCTGAACCCGAAGGGAGTCCCGGTGCCGGTAAAGGCGCTTGCAAGGCTCGGAGAAACTCTTGAAATTCCCTAAGAATGAGGCGGGGCGGAAGAAGGAGGGGCAAAGAAGACCCTTCGAGAAACCGTGCCCCAGCTACTGACGTGTGCTGAGGCAGATCCGTTCGGGATTGGGAAGTTCAAACCTTGATTTCCGAGCAGAGTTCTTGCTCTCCTCGTGCCCTCGGGTCCACCCAACGCCCGCTGCGCATCTCTGGCCGAGCCTTGAACGGGCGCTCCCTGGCCCGCGCCCCGAGGCGAGCTGCCCCCCCCCCCCCCCCCCCCCCACACACACACACACACACAACCCCGGTGCTGGGTTTCTGGTGGGAAGACCGGACCTAAAACTTACGGGGCTGTATTTGGAGGTGGGTTTAATTTCCTTTGTTCCCCAACCAAAATAGTAGGGACTGGAATGCTGTCAATCCTAACAGCCCAAAAGACCACTGGGCAACCGTGAAGCGTCCTACCTACCAGGAAACCTGGTATTAACTTTTCTGATGAGGACTGCTGGCGATGCCTGTAGAATAAAACATGCTAATGGGGACACGGAGTACCTCTGGGGACAGATTAGTTAATTCTGCTTGGTAGGCCAGGCTGAGTGAAAAGAAACGAGCACTGTTACAGGCTACACATTCTGTCCAGGTGTTGAATTCTGAATTACTAGAATGTGTCTCCTCAGTGTGTGGAAGCTCTGCCTGGGGCTGGCTGTGGTCGTGCTTTGATCTTCCACTGTCTAAACACACAATCTATTTTTCTAATGCATTTTTTTATTTTTGAAGCCCGTCATCTCATCCTCTGCAGTTGGGCTTCTTCTACTGCTGACCTTTCCTTGGGAAATTTGGTTCTAAAGCCAGCAGCAAGCAAGGGAAGTTCGCGTTTGCGTTTCCTTCCGGTCAGGGAGCAGAGTTTGGTTGGTTAGACGTTTCCAATTCCTGCAGAGAAGGGACGGTGGGTACTTCACTGTGCCTTCCTTACGGTATGAAGACGTGTAGCTCCTGTGAACCGAAGGAACTTTGTATACCCCGAGGGAAGGGAACGAAAGGAAAGTCGCCCACTGATTAATACCTGGGACTCCACCTTTCCTGTTTTTCTAACTTCCCTTCAAGATTCTGTTTGACTTTTGATGTGTTGAGGCTTATTCAGCGGAGCTCAGGAGAGGAAAAAAAAAATCGTCCTGTGTGTATCTTCAACACTACATTCAGTGTCTACATTCGGTGTAGATACTTCCAAGCTTAAAAAAAAAAAATCCTAGCTGCTTCTATTCTAGGTAAGGTGTGAGTGTATGTTTTAAATTCTCCACTTTCCATGACTTTTAATTTACCTACCATAAAGAGATGTGTGAGCTAAATAGCTTTTTGTTGTTGTTTTTGTTTTTCTAGACAGAATTTCTCTGTGTGGCCTTGAATCTCCTGGACTTTTTAGACCAGGCTGGCCTCAAACTCACGTTGCTATACCTGCCTTGCCTCTGCCTCCCAGGTTGCTGGGATTACAGATATGCAGCCACCATGATTGGCTGGAAAAAAAAATAAACTTTGCCGAAATTCAGCCATGGTTAGTTCATTTGGTAGTTCCTTAAACCTTACATCTCAATTTTTCTAATTCTCTACATTTTTAGAAACTATCGTTCAGAACAGTTTTAGATACTATAGTTTGCTACAGAAATTAGAAGACAGGTGAGATAAATTTTCAGTTCTTTTGGAAAAAAAACAGCTACATTTTATCATGATCATAACTAAAAGCATGGAATGCATGGGTTATCTCACTCTGCTTATTGAGGCAAATAGACTGTTCTTGAAAATACCTGAGCATCTTAAACCTGTCTTTACATGATCACAGAGTAACAGCATTGTTTAGTGAGAGCTATCTGTCTGGAAGGGTGAGAGTGGAGGCAGATGAAATAACAAATGATCGCTTTTGCAGTTATTGAATGGCAGTTGAATATGGCTTTTACTCTGCTGCGTCTGGTTGTTCTCCCCCACCCTTTCCCCTATCCCTAAAATTGATGGAGCAGCCCTTGTTGGCATGAGATGAGTAGCAGTTAGAAAAGATTGTCTCTTGGTTCACCATCTTCCTTTGGGTGAAGTGCCTTTTAAGCACGGCTTATCTCATTCTGTGGAGTCTGGTCTGTTTTGACTATGCTCAGATGAGGAATGCAAGCGCAGCCTAGAAAAGCTGTCTGGTGTTTCCTATCGAAACCTGTGAGGCTGAGAGCATTAAGGAATTCCTTACAAAACAGCTGAGGCAATTTTAAACCCATGTGTCACAATTTGTAAGGATGATGTTTACAGGAAATGGGTTTTATTGGCAAAAGAGCTGCAAAGGTTGAGTTTTATCTGATCCAAAGATGTTTGCTTGGGTGCTGGGTTCAAGTCACCGTGTTGCCTGAGTGGACTCACACAGTGTAGCTATATACACTACATTAACTGGTTAACGTCTGCTCTGCTCTCCTAGTCAGAATCATCTCTCACATTTGTCATTCTTGAAGTAAAACTTCTGTGATTATGTCCTTGGCTACCGTGAAATCATGTGCTACCATCCATCAGAACACTCTGAACTGAGAGGAAATAGGGTTATCTATCTCTCAGAGGGTCTAAAGTACCATTGACGTCTCATCATAAATCTAAAAAGCACAAGAATGATCTTGAAGCATGTTGCTTCAACAAACAGCAGTCCTTCAGCAAATTGTCACTTGAAATTTTAGACCCCTCTAAGTGGGAGAAAGCAGACACAAAGCAATAGGCTTTGCTTTATGTATGAGTCTGTGTGTGTCTGATGACTACAGGTTCCAAGAGGGTCCTCTGGAGCTGAGGCTATCATAGGCTTGTTGAGAACCAAACCCATGTCCCCTGCAAGAGCAGCCCTCTTAACTGCTGGGTGCTTTCTCTGGCCCCTCTGGATTTTTAAAAGAAGAGGTTTTGCTTATTCTGTTTTGTTTTGAGAGACAGTCTTCCTTATATACCTGATTCTGACCTTTAGTGTGTTGGGGTCTTTCTGTTTCTGCTTGCTAAATGCTAAGGTTACAGCTGCTGTGCCAGAATGAGAGTTCCCTGAATTCCCTCACAGCTATTTATGTAGTATATACTGTTAGCAGGTACTGGAGGTGTGTAGCTGAAAAAAAAAAAAAAAAACAAACTCCCTCACAGAGTTCACATTCAAGAGAAGGAGTCTGACAGTAAGCAACTGTGTTACGTGGCATAGAGGAGAACCCTTTAAAAAAAAAAATAAGGCAGAGGAAACAGGAAATTCCAGGACGTGAGGAAGGACTACTTTATAGTTCCTGCTCAGGAAAGTTGGCTAATGAGGTGAGACCAAAAATGAAGATGCAAAACTGAGATGCAGATATTTTGGCAGGTAGGGGGACAGGAAAACTGAAGAGAGGTGAGTCAGGATAAATGCTAAGATGCTGAGAGGAAGCAGTCTCATCAGTCTGGTTTCATCTTGAATGGTTATCTGCTCATTAAAATCAGGTGTCTTAATTATGTGTCGATGTAAAATTGCCCCTTCCCCCCTCAAAAAATCTCTCTGGCTGTGGTTGAAAGTGAAGAGGGAAAGTCGCAATAGAACACTTAAAGGTATAAGTTGCAGATTTTCTTCAAAGTTAAAAGAGTGGCAGGAGGGGGGGTTGCATTTCAGTTTTAGGGGCATGCAATTTTTTGGACTTGGCACAGTAAAAATACACAATAGAAGGCTAGGTGTGGCGGTGCACACCTTTAATTTCGGCACTTGGGAGGCAGAGGCGGGCAGGTCTCTGAGTCTGAGGCTGACTAGGGCTACACAGAGAAATCCTATTCAAAACAAAACCAACAACAACAACAAAACCCCACAATGGTGATGGAATAATCTCAACCCTTGGAAGGCTGAGGAGAATAACCACCAAAACACTAGCTTATGGCTAAAGCGAGGAGGCTGGGAAGACACAAAGCAATAACCCTCTCCATTAGATTGCCAGGCTTCATGAAGAACTTCCGTAGACATTTCCTTGTGAATTTTTAGACAGTAAGTTTTTTATTTAAAATATTAAAGGACCTTCATCTTAGTTCACTTTCACTTGTTCCAGGATGATTGCTAGCTAGGCGTGGGTGATGCACACCTTTCGGCCAAGCCTTCCGGGGGAAGGGAGGCCGAGGCAGGCCAATCTCAGTCTGAGACCAGGTTGGTCTACATACATAGTGAGATTTTGTTCAAAAGAAGATTGCTACCAGCTGGGCATGTTGGCACACACCTGCAATCTCAACGATTGAGGTGAAAGAAGAAAGTTCAGGAGTTCAAGGTCATCCCCAGATACAAGCCAATCTGGTGCTAGAGTGGGCTATATACAAGACACTTTCTCAAAAGATACTAAATCTCACTTTAGTAACCAGTCATTTTATTACACATTGTTACAGTTGTCTGCTTGGAAAGTCTGTACAATTAAAAGACTTCAGCTTTTGCATGATGCTTTGTTAAGACTCCAGGGAAAGAGACAGTCAGCTAGTTTTAAAATGTAAACTATTTTAAAGACAACTCATTTAGGTTAAACAGTTTCCATTCTTGTGATCTTGGGCAGTGGCAAGGAAATGAGTGACAGAAGCAGAGGAGCCAAGGGTGATCTCAGTTCGCAGGTTCCAGAGAGCTGCTGTCCCTGAATGCTCTGTACCCTGGGCTAAATATTTAGCTACTCTGGCCCTCTCCTTCCCAGATGTTCCGTCACTCAGAAATATTTTGGGCAGGAAAACACCCAAGGAGGAGCCATGGATTGCCTGCCTACCTACAGGACTTTACTTTAGAAGCACCCTGGACATTGTTTTAAATAGTAATGAAGGGGGAAAAGCGATTTCCTGGGCCTTGCCTTCGAGGAGTTCAGATTCAATGCACTCTGGAGGGCTGTAGGCATGTGTGTCGGCAAATGCTGTTGTCTGAGTGGTATGATTCAGGGAGTAGCTGTAAGAGGACCAAGTGTGTCCTCGGGAAGGTCACATTGTGTGCCTGGGGCTCTGAGCATGTGGAGAGCAAGTGATCTAACAGGGGATACAGAAAGCATTACAAGAGTGACCGACCTGGTCGCTGTCGAATCTGCTGGAGATCTAGGTAATTTGAGTGCTTGCTTGGTTGGGCCTGCAATCTCAGCAGAGCTGTATATAGAAAGCAGGACCAGGGCCATCCTTCTGTGTATCATCTGTAAGTTTTGAGGATAGACTGGACTACACAAGACGCTGACTCAAAGGGGAAAAGGAAAAATGTTACAACTGAGAACTTTGCACAAACCCTTAACTTAGACCATGGTATAATTGGAAAGATTCAACTTGAGCGTCTAGCATGAAAGTGGACACCAAGAAGCCTGTTTTCTCGTGTATTAAGCAAGGTAGTATGTAGCTTAAAAAGGAAAAAAGAAAAAAGTCAATACCATGGACTCTGTGAACATAAATTATGCCCTTTTGTTAATGTTGCAACCAGGAGCTAGATGTGGCTGTGCATGTGTATATTCTAAGCACCTTGGGAGACTGAGGTGGGGAGTTTGCCACAGACTTGAAGCTAGCCTGGGCTACATACTAAGTAAGTTAGAAGCTAGTCAGCAGTACATAGCAGCAAAGACTCTCTAGCAGCTAAAGGATCTCTCCCCACCCCCACCCCCCACCTCCCAAGATCTGGAAAAGTGAAAATATTAAACAAAGTTGAGAAAAGGAGGAACAGGCAGTGGATAGAACTGTTGGTTGGTGACAGTAAGCAACTGAAAGTAGAGAGGTAACTAAGTTTGGAGTCACAAGATGAGCATTACTTGATGGTGTCTGAGATAGTGGTAATGACAGGTGTTTACATGTTACGGGAGCTAGAGTGCCCAAATTGGATAATTCATATCTTATTCAGATGAAGGGTTCTAACTCATTACTCATTAATGCAAATGACTGCTGCTGCGTGGGTACTTAAAGAAAAGACAGCTTTGCAATTAAATTGCTGGTGCAATAAAAAGAAAGAAAGAACTGGCTGCTGACCCAGTTCACATGCCCTGGTGCTGGGAATATTTTTTTGTGGAATCTCATAATTATACAAAAGCCAAGCTTCTTCCACCAAAATATTAAAAGTTTAATAATGAGCTGGGTGCGGTGGCACATGCCTGTAATCCCAGCACTCAAGGAGGCAGAGGCAGGCGGATCTCTTGAGTTCGAGACCCGGTCTGATCCAAGACAGCCATAGCTACACAGAGAAACCCAGTCTCAAAAAACAAAACAATAACAAAAAAAAACTTAATGAACTTCTAGAACCTCTCACTGGTATCTCACTTTAAAGAACACTGGCTCTCTGTGGGGCCCAGTCCGCCTCTGAGGATGCTGCTTGCTAGTTCTATTGCTGCCTGATAGTGAGATGTGTGCAAACAGCTGATGCCTCCCCCAAGTCCCAACAACTGGGTATATCTGAGCAAAAGCAGATGACCCTGGCCGAATATTGCAATTCTTTGCAAACAGAAGTGGCGCCAGTTTGCGCATCATCACATAGAGCTGTCTGGATAGGGCTCCAAAAATTGTTCCTTGTTTGTTTGACCCTTGTGGACCACGCTTCAGTCTTAGTCTAGTGTTTTCTGCTACATTAGAGGCTTTTTTTTTTTCCTTTTATGTTCTCCAATCATTATACTGTCTATCAAGATTGAATTATCCCCTTCACTTCAACCAATCCCACGCTACTTAACTCTGGACCTTGCCAGCCTTTGCTTCCTCTTTGTTTACACTTCATATAGTGATCTTACTTTCTGAATTATTTCACAGTCTTAAATGACCTTCCAAAAAAGCACAAGATTCCTTCATCTATGGCTGTTTCAAAAATATTATTTGTGTGGACCTGCCCATTTACATCTTCTAGCTTGAGCAAGACTCTGGCCATCATCAAAGGTGCCCATGGAACTGGGAGAGGCTGGTCCCACCCTTCCCTGAGGAACTATAGGCAGTCAAACTCTTGAATCTTTGACCACATCCTCTGAAAGGCTCTGCTGTGAAAACAGCCTCTGTACTTGAGCCTTGTTGCTTTGTCCCTGCGTTACAGTGCTTATTTGTAGCCCTTGCTGGCTTGGAGCTCACGGTGTAGACGAGGCTGGGCCTTATTTATAGCTAGTCTCTTGTTCTACATGCTGAGTGCAGAAATTATAGACATGAGCTCCTGCCCCTGGCTTAAGGCCCTCAGTAAGAGAACTCTTAAAATGTAAAATAACCCAAAAGATGAAAAGCAATCATTTTTCTTTCTTTTATTTTTTTGGTTTTTTTGTTTTGTTTTGTTTTGTTTTGTATTCCCCAAAACAAAGTGTTTGTGTGTGTGTGTGTGTGTGTGTGTGTGTGTGTGTAGTGCTTGCTGTTCCTCAACTCTGAATTTAGAGATCTGCTTGCCTCTGCCTCCTGAGTGCTAGGATTAAAGGTGTGTCCCATTTTGTAAGGCTGTGAAAACACTGATGGTCTCTTTTTCTTTTTTTCTTTTTAACAAGCTGTTGAGTAGAATTGACAAATTGAACTCCGTTGAAACGTCTACATTGGTCTGGATATTTTTGTTTAGGAAGAGTGTCAGGGTAGCCTCAATCTCATAGCAGCCCTGCCTTATGCTAGAAAACTGACCAAGTGTGGGCACACATGCCTAGAATCCCAGAAGGCATGTGGGCAGAAAACAACTAATATAAGTGACCCATCAAAGAAAGGAAGAGAAATGTGCAGATGTCCTTAATTCAGAATGTGCGCAAAAATTACATGCTCGATAGATCATGGAGAAACATTTCAGAGTGAAAACAGGAAATAAACTGGTATTTTCCTAACATCTTGGGAAGCAGGCTCTGTCGCTGGAGGTCCTCTTCTCAGTCCTTCCTTACGTGCCTATGCTTTTAATAAAACATGTCACCATTGTGCTTAGACAGGCAGACAGACCCTGGTCTCCATGGCAAGAACTGTCCTCATTAATCAGACAATTAAATAAGCAAAGGCACTTAGCAGGGCGAGCCTCTCAGGTCACGTGGCAAGATGGTGTCGAGGGGCCAGGAATACTTAATCCTCAGCAAGTTGGGGCTGGCCTTCTCCCTTTACTATCTAGGTACTATTACCTGCTTAATTCCATCTTTGGAAAGTGCAGCCAGATTTGGTTGCATTCTGTTTTGGTTTTGGTTCAATCTGCCTTATTTTGACTGTCACCCGAAAAAAAAGAAACTATATATGTTTGAAACCGTCCATTTGCCGTCTATAATTACGGAGTTGCTTTCTTGTTTTTGTTTTTTTGTTTTTTCTTAGGAGGTGCCCAAACATGGGTGACTGGAGCGCCTTGGGGAAACTTCTGGACAAAGTCCAAGCTTACTCTACGGCTGGAGGGAAAGTGTGGCTGTCAGTGCTCTTCATTTTCAGAATCCTACTCCTGGGGACAGCAGTTGAGTCAGCGTGGGGCGATGAACAGTCCGCCTTTCGCTGTAACACTCAACAACCCGGTTGCGAAAATGTGTGCTATGACAAGTCCTTCCCCATCTCTCACGTGCGGTTCTGGGTCCTTCAGATCATATTCGTGTCTGTGCCCACGCTCCTGTACTTGGCTCATGTGTTCTACGTGATGAGGAAGGAAGAGAAACTCAACAAAAAAGAGGAGGAGCTCAAAGTGGCCCAGACGGATGGCGTCAACGTGGAGATGCACCTGAAGCAGATCGAGATCAAGAAATTCAAGTATGGCATTGAGGAACACGGCAAGGTGAAGATGAGAGGGGGCCTGCTGAGAACCTACATCATCAGTATCCTCTTCAAGTCTGTCTTCGAGGTGGCTTTCCTCCTGATCCAGTGGTACATCTATGGGTTCAGCCTGAGCGCCGTCTATACCTGCAAGAGAGATCCCTGCCCTCATCAGGTGGATTGCTTCCTCTCGCGTCCCACAGAGAAAACCATCTTCATCATCTTCATGCTGGTGGTGTCCTTGGTGTCTCTCGCTTTGAATATCATCGAACTCTTCTACGTCTTCTTCAAGGGCGTTAAGGACCGCGTGAAGGGAAGAAGCGATCCTTACCATGCCACCACCGGCCCGCTGAGCCCATCAAAAGACTGTGGGTCTCCCAAATACGCCTACTTCAACGGTTGCTCCTCACCAACAGCCCCACTCTCACCTATGTCTCCTCCTGGGTACAAGCTGGTTACCGGTGACAGAAACAATTCCTCGTGCCGCAATTACAACAAGCAAGCGAGTGAGCAAAACTGGGCTAATTACAGTGCAGAGCAAAATCGAATGGGGCAGGCCGGAAGCACCATCTCCAACTCCCACGCCCAGCCTTTTGATTTCCCCGATGACAACCAGAATGCCAAAAAAATTGCTGCTGGACATGAACTCCAGCCGTTAGCCATTGTGGACCAGCGACCTTCCAGCAGAGCCAGCAGCCGCGCCAGCAGCAGACCTCGGCCTGATGACCTGGAGATCTAAAACGGAGGCCTGCTCGAGCATCAAGATGCTACTTGATTGTGTGAGGAGAAAAACGGGTGCTTACAGAAAGTGCACCTGGGGTGTTCATATTGTTCCCATGGAGGTGGTACTCAATAGCCTCAGTTTTGAGGTGTAGAAAACAAAGACACTACAATACCTAGGTTCCTTGGGGGTGTTTGGGATAGCTGGGTGGAACAGGTGGGGTTAAGGGTGGTACATTTTGGTATTTAATGTAGTAGATTCAAAGAACTTAAATTCCTACTAAGAGTCACATTGGGTGAACATAGGTAAGGGCTTTCTCTCTCTTCACCCCCCCCCAAACGAGCCTTAAGAATGGTTCTGTATATGTGAGTGAGTGGGTGGTATAATTTTTATTTTTGTTTTACTGAGAAACTGAGATAGCTTCGGCCAGGAATCCATGCTTCTTCAACATTCATTTCCCTTGTGAAAAGACAGGTTGTTTGTCCAACTTCATCCCTGCCAGTACATTCCAGTGTTAAAAAGTTGCAGTTTGCAGGTATGCTTTCCAGGCCTGACCCTCTCTCTGGGTGTGGTGGACCTTTTGCTACTAAACATAATTTCCATTATTAGTATCAATCCAAAGTTCTTCCAAAGCTCAAAGAAGATTGTTCATGTATTTGCATCTCAATGGTTTTTTAACATTAGTTGCACCTTCGTGACACCATCACCCATAAATCATCCTCAACTTTTCCTCACATTCATTGAACAAGTGGTTTCTGTCCACGTTTTTAAAACTCAGTGTCATTTAGTGGTTATTTTTTGAGCTAGCATCAGGGAAGCAAGCCATGTTCGATATTTAACAATCACTTCTATGTATGGGTGTGTGCATGTGTGTAAGCGTATGTTTTATTTCTCATTATTGGTACAAGCAGACAATATGAACTCACAAATACAGATTTGAAGCTAGTGCACACAGTGTTCAAATTTGAACCTTCCTCATGGATTTTTGTGGTGTGGGCCAATATGGTGTTTACATTATAGAATTCCTGCTGTGCGAGCAAAGCACACTTTTTCCCTAAAGTTTTTTTTTTTTTTTTTCCATGTATCCTATTATGGATGCTGGTTGTTAATTATTTTTTTTCCTCTTTTTAGAATGTAGCAGTAATGACATTACTGAAATGAATGATTTTCTTTCTCTGAAATATAATCATTGATGCTTGAATGATAGAATTTTAGTACTGTAAACAGGCTTTAGTCTTTAATGTGAGAGACTTAGAAGGCAATGCTTAGAGTGGACTAGTAAGTATGCCTAAAGGAATTTTGTAGTAACTGGTATGAGATTTGGTTTTGTCCTACTTAACTACACATTAATTCAGAACTTATTCTGAGTTTAACAGTCTTTTAGAGTGACGAGCAACTTTGATGTTTGCACTAAGATTTTATTTGAAACACGAGGGGGTGAAGGAGGTTTCAGTATTAGTGCACATGTAACTAATTTATTTGAACTGTTTGCTAAAGACATCTACCAGTTTCTTCAAATGCCTTTTTAGAAAGCTCATCACAGATGATTGGTGAAATGTTGAGTATCATATTTTTCTTCTTGCATGTCAGCTACATAAATGGTTTTGTACAATGAAAAACTAATTTGTTTGACATTCCATGTTAAACTACTGTCAAGTTCAGCTTCCTTGCATGTAATGTAGACCTAGCCCATCCAATCATGTGCTTGGGAGAGTGTTCTTTATTCAATAAAGTTTTAATTTAGTATAAAGATATTCTGGATGTCTTGTATGATTTAAAAAAATAAAGTACCACATTTATGTATTCAAGGTTACCAAAAATGGATCCAATGATTATAATGTCTTAGATTAATAAAATTCATGGATTTTTTTTTCATATGTTTTGATATTTCCTGCCTGTGAGTTTGCACCAAGTGTGTTCCTGTTGCCTTCAGTGGCCAGAAAAAAGTGTCAAATTCCCTGGAGTTTTAGATAGTTTTGAGCTGCCATGTGAGTGTTGGGAATTAAACCCAGCTCTTTGAAGAACAGCCAGTGCCCTTAACCATTGAGTCCTCTCTCCAGCCTTAAGATTCTTTTTTCTTTTGAGACAGGGCTTCTCTGTATAACTCTGGCTGTCCTGGAACTCACTATGTGGAGACCAGGCTGGCCTTGAACTCAGATCTCTCTGCTTCCTGAGGGCTGGGATTAAAAGCATGGGACCACCACCAGGCTGAGATCCATATTTAAAAAAATAGAATTCAGAACTAAAGAGATGGCATAAATTTTTTTTCATCATAAGCTATGGTCTTTGAAACTTTCAGGGGTAACATTTTAGCTGAAAAGATAAAGTTTGTAAGTTCAATTGGAATTCAATTCCACTCCCATGCCAGGGCCCACACACACAGAATCAAACCTAGCAAGGTTATGCAAACCTACATTCTCTTGCCCCACCTTCAATACATGGGATTACAGGCCAGCTCTAGTGGTTACAGTTTTGGGGAGAGTGTATGGGTAGGTTCATACAGCTGGAGTTAAGATTACATGGGATAAGCATGTGTGTCCCCATCTGGAATCAACTTCAATGACACTTCTTAAATTGTACAGCTACAAGATTGGGTATCTTTAAATCAAGAGAAGAAAATAGATTTTGGTAGTTTTTTTGCAAAATTTTGTGAAGGTAACCTGCTGGACATAGTGACTTACTTCTTTAAGCCTGCACTCAGAAGTGGAAGAGTAAATGGATTGCTGGGCTTTGGAAATGAACATGCAAGAGAAAACGATTCTGGTCAATTGTTTCAGCCATAAAATGGAATATCAAGAGGGGGTAGCTCTGGGCAATAATCTCAAGCTGTGGGAGTCTGAGGTAGGAGTATGCATCAAGATCAAGCCTCTGTGGGGCTAACCAGTTCAAAGCCTGAATTACACAGTGTGGTATGTGTGTTTAAATACTTAATAACTACACTTTCATAATCTTCCCTGTCGGTAGGCAGAGATGGGGCTGGCAAGCTCACCCAGTAAAAGCGCTTCTTAGAATATGGTGGAAAGAGTCATGTAGGGATGGAGACGGTTCTTAACCCTTTAGATGTGACCTTTGGAAGACACATAAGACACTACTCGTAGCAAAAATTGCACTTGTGAAGGAGCAAGCAATGAAAATAGTTTTATGGTTGGGGGTCACCACAACATGAGCTGTATTAAAGGTCTGCAGCCTTAGGAAGGTTGAGAACCACTATTGTAGAGTGTTTGCCTAGCCTGCCTGAAGTCCTAGATTTGATCTTCAAATACTACATAAATCTGGGAGGTTTCAGGGGGGGGGAGGGGTTCATAAAAACACTTATAAATGACATAATGGTACCCTGTGTGTTATGCTAGTTTTAAAATTATAACTGAAAAAAAAAAGTTTAAGGGCGTTCTCAGCCACAAAAAAATTTGAGCCAGCTTGGGATAAATGAATATGAGACCCTCCCTATACTAAATGAAATAGTCACGTACATTTTTCTCAACTTGTGTTGGGGCTTTAGCTATGGAATGAGGCCCATTCCACCTTGGCTACAAAGTGTGGCTCCCTCAAAACAAAACCCCTTTTCATCTCCAGCAGAAAACAAGAATACGTACATTGTGTGTACAAAATTTGAGCATACAGAAGTATATAACACAGAGTCTAACTTAGTCATCTGTTTACACTCCTCAGTGGACCACTTTAGTTTACACACAGACCAACCACATATCAGGTGTTCGGTTACATAGGGAATGACTGAATGATTTAGTTCTTGTTCCCAAAGGCATGCAAAATGAATCCTTCCAGAAAATGGAACATTTATGTTCTGTTCATTTTTCTAGTACGCATATATGAGAGAGATAATATCAATAAATTTTGAGACCGGTAGCCCAGACTGGGTTGGTCTCAAACTTGCTATGTAGCTGAGCCTGAATTCCTGGTTTTGCCTTACAGGCTTGTGACACCACATCCAGAAAATTTCCCTAAACTGTTCTTTAGACAATTGGCAATCGTGCTTTCTTATTGCCATCATTTTAGTTCAGAATTCAATATAAAACCAGGCTTAGTGCCATATGCCTGTAATCCTAACTACTCAGGAGGGGGAGGCAGGAAGATGCCCTTAGAAGCCGAACGAGACAATTTAGCTGAGATATAACTCAATGAAAGCTAGAGCGGAGTAACACAACAGTAGAGCCCTGTCTATAGTCACAAAGCTATGAGTTCAATCCCCAACACCACACATAACTTTTATTTTAAAAGATACATTAGTTTTATTCATGCACATGTGTGTGAGATAACACATGTTTATGGGTAACACATGCATACAAGTAGCCGCAGAGGCCAGAGAGCATCGTAACAGGCAGTTCTGAGTCCACAGATGTATGTGCTGGAAACAGAACTCAGCAAGAGCTGAAAGAGCTGTTAAGCAATGAACAATGCCCCCACCAGCGCACGTGTGTGTGCGCGCACACACGCACACACACACACACACACACACACACACACACCTCATTTTTTTAAAGGCGGCAAAATTGTCTCATATCTTCAGATATTAAAAGGCCCAGTCCAATTCCCTTATTTTATTCAGTGAGTTTTCACCTTAGTCTCTGGATGTTTGGGGTGAAGCTCCCAGGCCAACAGCTGTTCCTTGATCATATTTTGTGAAAATTGCTCAACTTACCTGCCCAGGGTGCTAGGTCCCACCCACACATTACCTCGCCTAAAAATACAGGACATCAATTTCCAACGTGTCAACACAGCTGAGCTTTGAGCTTGAAGGGAAAAAAATATAATGAAGTCAGAGAGCTTATTAAAATCTTAAAAATGAGTTTTCTCCATAAAGGACAGCACAGAGACAGAACATGTTTATAGTCTTTATTGGTTTCTTGCTTCTGTTTCTACCTTTTCTTGGTTGAGGCAAATATAACTGAACCCTTGACGTGTCAGAGTTTGCAGCTGGCAACTCCCAGAACTCAAGAAAAGACACAGAACAAACCCCACAAAACACGGCATGTAGAAGGCAAGAAAAACCGGGGAGCCTGTGGAAAACATTGTTCATTTGGAGGGATTCAAAAACAGTGAAAATTTAAAGTTAGTTTTTGTTTTAGTTTGGTTTGGTGTGTTTTTTTGGGTCCCCCCCCCCCGATCTCCAGATGTATCTAGGAAATGACCAAATGCTTAGTCAAGTTCTGACTAATAGAAAAATCTGACATGTAGAAAAATTTCAGTGCCTGCACGCTTGCTGAATATAAACAGTGCTGCGAGGCCCCCTCTCACACACACCTAGGAAAAGGCAAGCCCTCTGCCCTAGTCATTTAGTGCACTGAACCACTTGCCCTCATTTGTGGTTCACAATGGAACCTATTTGGGAGTTTCTGCTACATCCTTCTCATGTAGTGACTTTTTAACTATGCTGGTCACCAGATTTGGTAAAAACAGCTTAAGAGAGGTTTTCGTTGCCATGGTAGCAGAAGCCAATACCATTATTTTGTTTTATTAGTAAATAAAACCAGACATATATGTCTTTAATCTCAGCTTCGGGGAGGTAGAAGGGTGTGGATCTTTATGAACTCAAAGATAGTTTGTTTCACATAGTGAGACCCTGTCTCAAAAAGGAGGAGGAGGAGGAGCAGAAGGAGAAGGGAAGTAAATACCACAGACAGGGTATTGGGACATACACATAATCTCAGATAGAAAAACTGGGGATAGGTTGAGCTACAAAGAACATTCTAGTTGGATATGATGTGTGCCTTTAATTCCTGCCCTCAGCAGACAAAGGCAGACGTAAGTAAAGGCATATTTCTGTGAGACTTGGAAGAACTGCTGAAGTTAGCAAACATCAACCTTGCGTGTGTGTGCTCACACGCACAGTCCCACATGCATACACAAAAGGGCATACATTCACAGGCTGCATAGCTGTACACCTGTGGTTCCATACACATTCAAACATGCATACACACAGGTTTGCAAATCATAAACATAAAAGAATGTATACAAACTAAAAAAAAAAAAAAAAAAAAAAATTCTATCCTAATCTGATGAGACAGTTTGGCAGGTAAAGGGCACCAGCTGGCCAGCCTAAGAACCTCTAGGACACACAGAAAAGGAGTACTGACCACCCTTCCCAATGTTTATCTTTTGACCTCTATGAACATGCAGTGGCAGGAATCCTCACAGACATGCGCACAAATACGTAAATGCGTAAATATTTGGGCTGGAAGATGGCTCAGTTGTTAAGAGCAGTGACTGCTCATCCAGAGGACCTGTTCAATTCCCAGCACCCACAAGCAGCTCATGACTGTGACGGCCTCACCCACATGTACATGAAGGAAAAACGCCAATGCATGTAAAATTATATATATATATATATATATATATATATATATATATATATATATATGTATGTATATACACATGCACACATACATACATAAAGAAAGACAATTTATACCATCTTTAGGCACAAACTAAGGAAATGGCTATAACTGAGTTTAATTCAAAGTCTTATAGAGGGCAAGGGCAAACTATCAAGATTCATCAAACAGAACTAGGAGCCTCACCTCTAGCCAGAGTTCTGGAGTCTGAATGGCCAGGGCTTTGCAAGACTCTCATGTGTCTGACACTGCTGTGGCTCAAGCTCATGGTTTTCCCAACTCAGAGCAACTAGAACACAGCTGATGAGCAGTTCCACAGAACCCCGACTTCAACTCAACTGAGCTACTCACTGTCAAGAGAAGTAGGGGAAGGGCTTATATATTATGACATGGTGACAGCGC